GAATTTCAAAACTAAGAGAGTTAAAAAATTTAGGACCTTGGAAACTGATGGAGAACTTTCTTATATTAGTCCTGCATTGTGGTAAATAAAAATGCTCCAAACTTCTAGTGCCATAAGAATGCACCTGGCATGTCACCAAAAACATGTTATTGAAGCTATAAGGAAGTAAGCCAGATCTGTATTGATACATAAATTTCCTATTTGAAGTTTGTAGATACTCTCAAGATTCAGAATTGTTAAATTTTTAAATAAGGGGTCAGTGTGAACTCGAAAGCATTCCTCGACATTATTCTTACGACCCGTTTTTGAAGTGTGATTAATCCTCTGAGGCTTGATGGGTAGGTGCCCAGACGCTCACGCAGTAGAATAAGTATGGGTAGATAAGGCTAAAATAAAGCATCTGTAAGGAGGAATTATTAAGGCAAAAACTTGATTTATAAATTATACCTATGACTTTAGACACTTTCCGAGCAACATTATGTATATGTGATTTCCATGTTAAATGTTCATCCAAAATTACACCAAGAAAAGTAGCTTCCTTAACATGATCAATCAAATAATTACTAATATTAAAAGCTAGATCAAGTGTTTGCCTGTTTTGTCTCGGTCTGAATATGATAAAACTAAATTTCTTAACATTAATAGATAGCTTATTTGTATAAAACTAACACGTTATCTTTTTCAATTCTAAATTTACAACTTCCATAAGATAGGAAGCATCAGTATGCGAATAGAAGATATTAGTGTCATCAGCAAATAGTATCAGCTCTAAGACCTTTGACACATTACATAGATCATTTATATATACTAAGAATAACAGGGGACCTAAGATAGATCCCCTGAGGGACTCCACAAGTGATATCTAATGATGAAGAGTTGTAATCATCATATTGCACAAATTGTTTTTGACAAGAAAGATAACTTTTAAACCATTGTAAAGCAATACCATGTACTCCATAATGTTCTAATTTGTCGAGCAAAATTTCCCGATTTACTGTATCAAAGGCCTTAGATAAGTCAATGAATAGGCCTAAAGTTACCCTTTTATTATCAAGTGCATTTGAGATCTTGTCATACAGTTGGATTAAAGCATGTGCAGTAGAATAATTTTTTCTGAATCCATACTGATTCCGGGAAAGAATATCATGTTTATTTAAAAAATTAATGAGGCGATTGTAGACGATTCTCTCTAGGAATTTAGAGAAAACTGGTAACACTGATACTGGAGCATGGTGACCTGTATTCTGACCTGTGGAATGTGACCTGTAAAAAATACCTGCCGCACTTTCACCACATTAAATTTTTCCTGTGCATTGCTTCTAGTTTGCCTACCAAAGGCATTTTAATCATACTACTTTTGTCGTAAGAAATATTTTCCTTTAAATAGCAGTCTTGAACAGCTTGAATTCATTGTATCAGAAACAGGCAAAATTTAATGCTGTCTCTTGTGCAAGAAGTAAGAAATGTGAATACTCTTTTATTTAATATCTTTCCTCCCCAGTTAAGTGGGCTTTCTTTTTTCTTGTGTTTATTCGCTGATATTCATCAAATCTATGGACACATACATTTCCATCAAGTTAGAAAATCCTTATATCTTGTATAATCAGGACTTGACATCAGTTCATGTCACTTGATTTTGCAGTAAGGATCATCGAGCAAAGACATCACACAGCTGCACCAGTAATGACCAGGAAGATCAGGTAAATAATAATTACAATGGACAGTATGCCATCTCACCTTTGTGTATTATTCTCTTGTAGTTTTTCTTGTTGAACCAGGGTGTTCTCCCTGACAGGCCATAGCCCGACATGAAATAAAGTATTCTGTAAGCTTTTTGGGTATACCGGTATGTAATTACAACAGTCACTGTTGCATTGTAGATAAATAAATAAAAGTTCTTGTCAAGAAGGGGTATAAGAAAGCATTGTATTATTTACTGGTATCTTTGACCATATTTTATGAAAAACTTATATTTGTGAAAAATGCACAACATGTGTTTCAATACTTGTTGAAAGGGAAATATGGCAAAATGTGGGGCTTTGTCATCAGAGTACCAGGAGTGTGCTATTGAAGACTGCAGAAGTTGTGACTTGGTGCCTGTGTTGTGTGAACACTGTCATAATAATTACTGTGTAAGGTAATTGCATTCTTTTTTGTCATAATTGTCATTTTTTTGTCTTTGAGCTGGTGTTATCACTGCATGAAACAGCTAGCTGCCAGGAAATTTTCGTGACTCAAGTTTGACCATCTGCTTCAAAGGCTTAAGCCACAATTTTTTTGCTTAGTATCTGAACACCAACCTAGCTGTGACAGCTAGGTTTTCACATGAATAATCACTAAATCACTACTGTTAACCGGTTGTTGCTGATAGCTTCTTTAGCTTACAACTATACAAAGTTTGACTGTTACAATATGTATCTCAAAGCTTCATTTTGCATACTAACAAATGTGTAGTAAGTTTTTTCAGTTTTTAGTTTTTAAAATAAAATATTATGTCAAGATCATATTATTATGTCATAATAAATGAATGGATAAATGAATGAATGGAAATAAATGAAAATAAATGAATGGATGTTGACCATCATTAAATTATTTATAACGGTTCATGATCATACTTAGGTGCCAACTGATACAATTTACTAATAATGTTTTTGTTCTACCACAGGCACAGACATCAAACTGACCATAAATGCTCAGCTCTTCCTGATAAGCAGGCAAGGATAAAACCAGAGGACAGAATAAAGGAAATTATTGGTGAATGTTTATGCCTATAGTGAATATTGTAATAGAAAAAAAAATGAGAGAGGGTAACACAGGCACAAAATTTGACATTTTGTGGAGTAGATTCTTATTTTAGTGAAGTGAAATGTCTGCAGTGTATTTGGAATACATTTACCTGGGTCTTGATCTCCTCATAGGCTGCAGTGGCAGATCCAATCCTTCAGATGAGAGGGGGGGGGGAGGTGCCGGTCATCCAGACCCAGAGATAAGGGGGGGGCACTCTAAAAAAAAACTAGCCTGGGCCCCCTTGCCCCCTCCCCTGGATCGGCCAATGGGCTGTTGTGTCATCCTTGTGAATAAAATCCCTTTGACTTTGCTAGATGGTTGGTAGGGATGATAGTTTGTCTGGTTGAGAAGTAATGCTATTTGTGAGAACATGTACTTATGTGAAACACAAGTTCTACTTTCAGTTCATCAAGTAATAATTATAGGGATAAGTAACATGGAATTATTAGTGGTACAGTGGCAGCATGGATGTTAGTCATGAGTGCATTTCAGCGTCCATGGTAATCAATACTTTATCGGTGTTATTAATTTTTTCTTGTCCCCTCCTCGGTCCTATACTGATTGGATGTTGTGCTTCCTGCTTGTCTGTGGGCATCCATTTGGTTAGTGTGAAGTCTGAAGCTGACCTCTGGGAATATGATAATTGGTGCTTGTTGAAGCTATTGAACTCAGTGTCTTCTTTGCCTAGATGCTGAAAAAGCTGATGGCATCTGAGGCCCCAACCACATTAATCCAAATAAATTAGAAAACATTGATTTTCTATGTGTTTCATTTTTCATACTGTAATGTCATGCTTATTTTTCTAACCCTTTAGGTAAAGAACTTAATAAAGAAAAGAAAGGTACTGGTTTTGCAATCAGCACTTATTAGGTAAATGACCTAGTAGTGATGCTGCTGGCTATAAATGGTGACAAAATTAATTGAGACTAAAATTGAGACACTCTATCTTAAGGGGTCTTTCTGATGTTTTGGCGACTTTCAGAAGGGGAAATGAAGTTTTCCCTCCCCCATCCCCTCCACTGTTCAAGTTACCTATAAAAAACAACAAACACCCCAGCTTTGAATGAAGGGGGGAGGGGGGGGGGGGGGGAGGGATTGGGATTGCTTTGTTCTCCGAAGTTACACTATTTGAGGACAGTGTCTCAACAATTTTGTTTCTGATTGTGACATGCTGATTAATTCATTTTCACATATTTTATACGTTACGCTACTTTTATATAGAATCAATTTACTCATATCAAATATCTTACTTCATGTTATGCTGTCCGTGGTTTTTAGGGCCAGGTGGAATGCGAAATGAACGACGGGCGGCTAAGGTGGCATTGATGAAGATCAAGATGAAAGCAATTGGAGATCCTTCAGTCCCGCAGGTCTGTGAAATAAGTTTACTATCAAAATCAATAAAGGGTTTCACTCTACGCAGCTTCTATAACACAACACCAAGAAACACTGAAAAACTCATTCCAGTGATCTTTCAATGATTGGCGGTTGTTGACATAACTTTGTTATGAACTTCCTTGAATAGAGACTTCGATGAAAGTTACATAGTCTTAACGTCTAGAGTATTCTTAAGTCAGAGGTGAATCCAAACTGAGCTTTGTTTACTTTTCATGAATCTGAGACCGCCATCCAGTTAGCTCAGTTGTCCGAGTGCCAGGCTGCTGAGAGTGAGAGGCCGTGAGATCAAACTCCAGCCGCCAGATCACCAACCAAGGTTTTTGATAAACTGGTGCCGAGATCATGTTATTAAAACCCCTTCTCAGTTCAGATGATCGCGTCCTTAGGTGGTGATGTTAAGCTGTTGGCTATTTGTCTCCTCTATTAGGCCAGTACATGCTGTAACTGTTTGAATAGTGAACTCGGGAATATTACAGACAGTTCTTTCCTTAATTTCCAGGATGAACGTGTTTATCTCAGAGTTTTAATGCCATTGGGTAACAAAGAAAGAGAACAGCCCATGTTTTTCTCAAAGGTAAGCACCTGATATCAAGAGAGAATGGGCTAAAATAATAACGGAACCGTGCGGTGATTTACAATGGCTTCCTTTTGACTGGTTAACGCCAATTCGAAAGTACGAAATTTGGAATTTCATTATTCTGTTTGAGTCTATTGCTCAACGCACTTCTTATTAGAAAGGACGTAATAAATAATGTTCAGTTTGTTTCCTCTGTCATGGCATGTCTTTTTCATCGCATTGAAGCAATTTGATTGGTTAGTTCGGTTTTAATATATAGATTTAGCCAGGGCTAAAAGCGAAGCTCTGGTTAATAATAATTGTAAACAAAAAAAATTAAATCGTGTAATGCTAAACGGGGAGGGCAATGAAAATGGCATCAAGATCAATAGATCTAATTAGCAAAAAAAACAAATTGCACGCGCAGCACACTTTTTTTTCTAATTAGCAAAAAAAAAAACATTTGCACGTGCAGCACGCTTTTTGTCTTTCTCTGCCGTTGTTTTGCGCAACTACAACGCTGTTTTGTAGGACTAAAACGTCATACATCCTAGTTACACGTTATTTTTATGGAGGAATTGTCGTATGAGCTTACCCACTATTTTGTCTCCTGTGTTCATGTTCGCTTTTATTTTTCACTGCCGCTTATTTTTACCTTGCTGGCCGCTAGCATTTCTCATTGTCTCACAGCCGCTTTGAATTTTCATGTTTTTCTTCCTAAAAAATTCGTCTCTTTTGTTTTCAATCACTCGCTTTAGCTCTTTCTCTGTTATCCACGTGAGTGTAAACATCAAAAATAACGTCGAAAAAGACACGACTTTGTTGTTGTTTTTTCTTTCTAAAAATCCAGACGGCCATGCGATTTCTTTCCAAATAAAACCTTGAGTTGCATTTGGGTTGCCAGACCTGTTGATTGAATTATTTTACATTGGTATGCCTGTGGTGCGGACGAACGGGCGGGCAGGCGGTCGGTGTACGGTCACGTGATTACCAAATTTTCTCGGATGGGTAGTTTACCATATTTTCTTACCCATGGTGCTCCGCTGCGCGCGCTTCGCGCGTGAGAGCTCTGCTATTACATTTCAAATTTTTATTTATAGAATATAAAATTCTAGGCCTTAGTCTCTGCTCATAGTTTTCAGAAAACAGGTTTTTTCTTCAAAATATAAAATTTACAATGGCAAGCCGTTATCATTTTTCTTCGAAAGTCTTAATTCTATTAAAACTGACCGTGCTTACTGTTCTCCGTCAGTATTGGACCATTGGCAAGATCATTGATAAGATTGCTGTGGCTGCCAAGCTAAAGAATGAAAATAATGTAAATCTAACAGAGAAGGTAAGGTGTGCTTTGCTTTTTTTTGCTGTCAGTTGTTTGAACGAGGTTATGCCAGTTTTCTTAATGTTTGTCCCAGCGTTTATCAATAGCGTTAGCCGAAGAATGTGTTACTGAAGGAAACCATGATTTTTAACGACACAGTTTTGCCTTTCCACTTACTCTTTTTGTGTGCTGAAGGTCTAAAGAAGTGCGTCTCTTCTGAGTTGCAATTGTGTTTCCGAAGATGTTGAAGATGTCTTTACAACGGTTTTGGGCGGATTTCAAAACGGGGATGAGGTTTACGTGTACGTTGGCTTAAAAAGGATAAAAATTTAGAGGTTAATCGTTTTGAGGTATAAGCCGAATAGACAAAGATACTGTTCCACAATGTACCTGTTCTCTGATGGTGAATACCTAGTATGAGAGGAGGGATTATCTCTGGTGTGTTATGGGAAGAAGGCTTTTAAGTGCAATGTATAAATATGTTTTTCGTTTGAATGTAGATGGTGCCATAAACAATGGCCGCAGGGGCCTAGCCAGGCAGTTTTCCGTTTAAGCCCAGGATGTTAAAAGGAATAATAATAATAGTAATAGTGATAATAATAACAATAACAATAATAACAATGATAATAATAATAAGAAGAAATCAACAATGATAAGAATAAAATGATGATGATGATGATGATTATGATTACATGTACTGATATTTGTTTGTATGGCAAAAATTTAACATACGTTTTGAAATGCGCGTTTGAAGACATTAAAATAAACTAAAGAACTGACCAAGGTAATAATAATTAGAAATACTACAATCCAGACGTATAAAGAACAAAAATGTAAAGTGCATCGGTAAAAGGCATTTTCAACTAAAATAGGTGTTCCTTTAGAGCTTGCTTAAAATGATTCAGAACACTAATTTTCCTGATATCAACTTTTTTGCCAAAGTCGCGCGCGAATAGTAACTTGCAAAATTTATCGTTGACCCTGTACTGAGTGCACATTTTTTATATAACATTAGACAAAAATGAAATACCACTGAACGAGCCGTTTTCCGAAAATGAATGCCATAATAAGCTCTGGGAGGAAAATCTGAGCGTCAGCGTTAATTGTCTACTAACCGTCACTAAATGCAAGTTTTTTTTCATTTTTTGTACGAAAATCTCAGAGTACTCTTTCGCAGTCAATGAGCATCTCTTTAGGCGCGTGCAAGAGGGCTAAGGATGATAGCCAATCTGTTAGCATCGTGGATCGTTTGTTCGTTTTTACCCTCCTGTTGGTACTGAGTGATCTTTGGCTTCACAAACGTCTCTGTAAACTTGTCATGAAACTATAAATTCAGTTAGTTAGTAGAAAAAGAAGTAGAGCCGGGCCTGGACTAGGCTTCCTAATCGGCGGGGCCTGAGTGAGAACTGCTCATAGATAGCGAAACAGCGAGATAACGGAACAATGTAACTTCAAGAAATTTAGGTGGAGATTAAGAACGGAAAATGTAAACTGCTCTCTGCGGACAACAATTGCAGTATTGCCAACCGCAGACTTTTGGCTCTAGAATTTTCCATTTTTAGCTCGATCGAGAACTAAATGTTATTGATAAACTACTTAATGAAGACGTGATAACCTGCACTTATTTTTGCCTCAAATTCTTGTTAAGCCCGGGCTTAATGGCTTAAAGGCAGCTACGCCCCTGGTGAGACTTAGTACCGGAAGTTATGGAGATTTTTTTTGCCGAAAATACGCACTGATTTTGAACGTGGTAAAAGAGACTTAACGGTCGTTTAACATACTTCATAACAAAACAAAGCTTTCAAAATTTATTGCATTTATTGATATTTGGTTATATCAGTATATAACTCATCTTACATTGACATCTTTGTCTAACTCCATCCAACATAGTTGGATGTAACGTATTGGATCCGTTTAAATCCTGGCCTTGCTCTACAGTATCGGATGATTTCGGATTATGCTGGAACACGTTTAAATGAGTTCAAACGTTCGTCCCACTTCCAGGGGAGCAATACATCAGATACATGCGTGTTTGAAACGGCCCTATTTCACTCATATCTTAGTAGTGCGAACCTAACGTGACTCTGACAAAAATCTCCGAGAAGACTATAGTGGCTTCGCGATAAAATCGGAAGCTAAAAGTATTACATCACGAAAGTGCTGATTATGGTAAAATTGTCAATGACTAACTTTATTTTATTTTTTCTTGTTTTTTTTTAGAAGTTGCGATTAATTAATCGAAACACTGGTGAATTGCTGACTTTGCAAGATACTTTGGAGTATTTGCTAGCACATGATGACGAGCCTCTGTTGAATGGAAGTACAGTTATAATGGAATATGTGGACAAAAACTTAAGCAGTGTATTACCTGACCTAGATAAATATCCTAGATGAGAGAAACAAATAATAATAGTAATAAATAACTGTGAAGGAATTCTTTCTTGACAGAAATATTATGTGGTGAATTTGTTTTTCTTGTGGTGAACAGAGGAAAGAATATATCTAGTGATGCCTTTGAGAAGGGGATATCCATATCACTGGGGTTTGAGTGGGGAACTCAAAACACAAGAAAGATCTTTGTGTCCTGCAGCATTTTGTAATAGCGACGCATTTAGTAATACGGGTTGCAGGTTGGTGCACTCAATTTCGGCGGCAACTACGTCCTGTTGCGAATTGTAATTATTTTATTAAGCCAATCAGAAACGCAGAAATATTTTGAACTACTAAGTCCTCGGAAGAGTCTTCTCTTTCATCAAATTATATCTCTGTCATCGTTGTGACGTTTGCTTAAATATTTTATTCAGTGCGAACCTTTAATAGCAAGATGAACCTTCTTAGAGCTATTTAAGAATCAAGAACCCGCATATCCCAAACTGATTTTAAATGTTCAAACAAATTGTGGCTACGTTGTATACTTTCATTGCCGATCTTGAAAATCGTTGCTGGGGGGCAAGTCTTTAAACGGGTAAGGCCGGTAAATGGGTTAAAACCTGGTGGTTGGCTTGATAACTTTGTCCAAAGCCTAACATTGGGCGAGAATACGTTTGTTTTGTCCAAAAACATTGGTTTAGTTCCTGCGTTTGTTTGTTTGTCTGTTTCAGAACCCTACTTTTTAATACAGTAAAAGCCCGCGACTAGCAACCTGTTTTTTCCCCAGTTTGCCTAAACAGGCTTTCTTAAATGGTAATTAGCACAAATTTAGGTTATTTAGGTTCTTAATAGCTTATTATCTTCTGAAGAAAAAAACATTGGAGCTAAGAGTATTTAGTGGTATTCAGCTCATTCCTTAGTTAAAACCCGTATACCATAACAATTGCTGTTGGAGTAATAAGGCACTTATGTCTCTAAAGAGGATCCTGAATGTTGACTTATCCGTACAGATTTTTTTTATAGATTTTAGATCATTTTAGGCTAAACCGGTTCTAGAGAGATCGGGAGCGTAACTGGCAAATTTAATCTTAACAGGTTCTTAAAACCCAGGTTCCGTAGTGGCGGGTCTTTACTGTACTTCACACTTCTTTCAAGAAGGTTCTTTAAAACCGAATAAGCTGTCTGTTTACACGAACCCTGAATCAATCGTGTTTCACATCCTTGCACTAGACATGCGTGTCGCAGTACGTACAAGCTCTTTTGGTGAAGGGTTTCGTTGATGTTTTGTTCTTTTAACCACCGTATGAAAAAAATCTTTCATGACGAGACCTTTTTATACCACTCTGTAACTTCAAATTTTTTTCTATGAGTTAGATGCACTAGTTCGCTTTTAGACTCCAAACAAACATTGTCGTGCTTTGTCTTTACTTTAGGTGAGTGTAGCGCTGACGCCTAAGGGTGTGGTCTTTTACTCGGTATTGTCAAGAACCATAATGATACCATTATAGCTCTTGGTATTGTCTAAAACCTTGGTATCGAGTTATATCGAGTTATATCTTGTGTTTTTAGTTGAAATTGGGTAATTTAATTAAGGTTTCAGGAAGCAGGAAGCATGCTGCATTTTGCGGGAGTTAGCACCGCGCCAACACCAGTCCCCCTCCCTACCCCTAACCAACCCCTGCCCCCGCCGCCCCCAGCCTGTTCAAGGGCGTCATCTACGATTGGACCCGATGTAACAGTGATATGGGCATCCCCGTTTTTTTGGCGTCCCTAGTGATACGGACATCCCCCTCACATCACTAGGCTGCGTATGGAGGTAGTGGGCGCAAGGAAAACGGGCGCGTGAGAAGGAGACACGCGCGCCCGTTCTCTCTTTCGCCCTCTACTTCCAAGCGCCTGTTACGCAGGCTTACATATCAGCTTAGCGATTTGGGTTAGGGTCAGGGTTACAGGGGATGCCCATGTCACTAAGGTTTTGGGGATGGGGACGGCAGGGTTGTCACTAAGATTTCAAGTTGCCGGGTATTTGTTGTTAGTAGCCGGGGAAGTCGCAAGTCTTTGAAGTGCAACTTCTGCCGTTTTCCAAAAGGCATTACCGCCCCAAAAAAGCAATCTTTACCAAGAGTACAGCTATCATTAGCGGTTTTATGATGATCACGTCTTTATTAAAGAAAACTACAACATTCTGAGACACTAAAATAAAAAGTTTTTACTTTACGTAAAAGCTCGTTGGAGGGTTTTTTTAGTGGCCGCCAAATGAGAATATACATGTAAGCACCGGGTCTGAAAAAAATGACAAGAGACCTTAAGATACCCCGATATCGGTGTACGGGTACGGGTAGTGTACCCGTACACGTAAAATGTTCATGTGCGTGACTATTTCGATTAAGATACCCGAAGAACAAGCACGCAAAATTAACTTTGTACATGCATGTCGCTTAATGCATACAAAATCTCCCTCAAATTCTACACTTCATATCTTAAACAACAAGCTGTAACAAATAATTCATTCATACATAAGCTTATTGAAATATCATAGAAAGATTTTAAGAAACATGGCGGGAAGTCCCTCGACCGAAAGCTTGTTATCGCAAACCCCGCCATTTGATCGAGGCACATCACCAAACAATTCCTTTGATTGTCAACTTCAACAGTGACTCCCACGCTAAATTTTTCAATGCTATTTCTTTAGCGAAACTCAAACGTTCGAGCAATTCTCAGAAATCCCCCCAAGTACCGCCACAAATTGATATCGTTTCAGAGTTCAACCTGCGCATTTGAGGTCCAAAATCAATACATTTTGAAGCGCTTTCTTTACAGCTATTATTCAAATTTGGCAAAAATATTTGAACAGACTTGCAATAACATTGCCAAGGAGTCATACAATTTACATTTGTACTTAAAAAGTCTTAAAAACTTACTCGTTTCTCCATCATGTAGGACTTGCAGCTACTC